TGCTGGAGCTGCATCTGGCCACCGCCAGTAGCAGCAGTAGTAGTAGCTCCTAGGGCAGCAGCACCTAGGGCTCCTCTTTTTTTTTTTTTGAAATGATTATTTATTTATTTTAGGGTTTGGCAGGGCATGCTGGGCGCTGCAGAGGCTGCTCGCGGGCTGCAGGGGCGCCTCGCGGGCTGCAGGGGCAGGGCGCTGGCTGCAAGAGGTAGGCGCGCTGGCTGCAGGGGCGGTTCGCGGGCTGCAGGGGAGGCTCGCGGGCTGCAGACGAGCGGCGCGCGGGCTGCAAGGGTTGCGCGCGGGCGGCTTGCACGGGGCGGTGCGTCGCGGGGCGGGCAGGGGCGGCGCACAGGCAGGCAGGGCGGCGCGGTGGCCCTCGGGTGACGCGACGGGCAAGGCAGGGCGGCGCGGTGGCCCTAAGGTGACGCGACGGGCAGGGCAGGGGCGACGCGCGGGCCCTAGGGCGACGCGACGGGCAGGGCAGGGGCGGCGCACGGGCCCTACGGCGACGCGACGGGCAGGGCAGGGGCGGCGCGTGTGCCCTAGGGTGACGCGACGGGCAGGGCAGGGGCAACGCGCTTGCCAGGAGCGGGTGCAGGGCAGGGCCCCGACGGGCAGTTAGGTAGAGCAGGAATGCGACGGGGCGGCAGCAGGGCAGGGCCGCGACAAGGCAGCTGCAGGGCAGGGCCACAACGGGTGGCGGCAGGGCAGGGCCGTGACGGGCGGCGAGGTCAGGGCCGCAACGGGTTGTACCCCATATGGGCTACCCCACTACAGCCTATACAACAAGCAACACATAGTTTGACACCTCCTGCAACACAGGGCTATCTCGGAAGCCGCCCTATGCACCGCCCTTCTCGTCGAACAACAGGATATGGATCAGCAGCACCCCGCGCCGCGACGAGAACAAGAACGCCTCACCTTTTACGCCAACAACAAAGAAGAGCGAAGGTCGCGGCGCCTTTACTTCAAAATTTGAAGGAACTTCGGGTACCTGACCGAGCGATGTAAAATCCGCTTCACCCTCCGCTAGTCCAATCCGAGCACTTGGTCCGGCCGACAAGACGCAAATGAAGATATGCATCAATCCCATGGCTATTAGTCTGTATCATGCAACTCGAACCCAAAGGTTTAGCACCAGCAACAGCAGCCGATGCAACTTGGACTCGCGCGCCATGTCATCAGCAACATGACGATAACACGCATGCACGACACCGTCAGAGCCAGCGCCACACCTGTCAAACTATTATAACGTTTATGTTATGTAGGCTGTAGTGGGGTAGCCCATAAGGGGCACAACCCAATTAGGGTTAGTACTTGTACCCACTTTGTTTCTAGTACATCCATTCTCGTTCAGTAATCGTGACATGGTTTCAGTGCAGGTCCTGTCCCAGGACCGTTTTTTTTAGGGCCCACCGTATAGTTCGCTGCCCGTAGGGCACTACTCCACCCGTCGCGCCGTCCTGCTGGCCTCGCGCTGCCCTGCCCTGCCTGCGCGCCGCCCTGCTGGCCGCGCGCTGCTTTGCCTTGACCGTCGCGCCCCCCCTGCCCTGCCCCGCGTTGCGCTGTCCGCGCGCGCCCTGCTTTGCATCGCGCCGCCCCGCGCACGCCCTACCCTGCGTCGCGCCACCCGCGCACGCCCTGCCCTGCCCTGTGTTGCGCCGCCCGCGCACGCCCTGCCCTGCGTCGTGCCGCCCGCGCACGCCCTGCCATGCGTCGCGCCGTCCGCGCACGCCCTGCCCTGCCCTGCCCGCGCGCCGCTCTCCGCCACGCCACCCTGCCTTGCCCGCGCGCCGCTCGCCGCCGCGCCGCCCTGCCCTGCCCACGTGCTGCTCGCCGCCGCGCCACCCTGCCCTGCCCGCGCGCTGCTCGCTGCCACGCCGCCCTGCCCTGTCCGCGCGCTGCTCGCAGCCGCGCCGCCCTGCCCTGCCTGCGCGTGGCTCGCCGCCGCGCCGCCCTGCCCTACCCGCGTGCTGCCCTGCTGGCCGCCGCACTGCCCTGCCCTGCCTGCGCGCCACCTTGCTGGCCGCCGCCCTGCCCTGCCCTGCCTGCGCGCCACCCTGCTGGCTGCCACCCTGCGCTGCCTTGCCCGCACGCCGCCCTGCTGGCCGCCGCCCTGCCCTAGTCGTGCACCGCCCCGTCCTGCCCTGTGCACGCCCCTAGAGCTTGTGTGTTGCCTTGCTGCTCGCGCACCACCTTGCTCTGCCCGCGATGGCTACTCTCAGCGTCCTCACATTCGATCCTGAGGGCATCTGATCCAGTTCGATGCGTGGATTGATGACCTACAGCTGTACCTACTGAGCGATTTTAGAGACGGCGTTTCGTTGTTTGACCATGTGAAAGAATAAGGTTGGGTACAAGTAGGAAACCCTAGGAAACTGTACCCCATAGTGTCTACCCCACTATAGCCTAGACAAGCTATATAATATGAGTTTGACACACCCCCATAGGCAAAGTGGGGGAGAACAAGAGGTCACAAGACCAGTCAAGCAAAGCAAAGCAAGCTCAGAGTGGATATCAACGTCACCACACAATCCGAGCACAAGAGCAAGGCCAAAAGGCCAGTTCACATGCAAGATCATATATTAAGGTAAACAAGCAGGTGCAAGTATAGAAAGATCACAGTACAAGCAAGGTCAAGAAGTGAACAAGTGAGGCCAAGTAGGCACAAGACCTAGCATCGTAGAGAAGTGCTAATGATCACCAGGCAGAAGTGCCTTGGTAAAGATATCAGCAGTGTTGGCCTGAGAGGCCACGTAAGCAAGACGCAGCTGACCACGCTGCTGCAGCTCACGAGCAAGGAAGTAGCGGAGAGCAATGTGCTTCGTTTTGTGCTCCATTCTGTGCTCCCGACACAAGGCCAGCATGGCCTTGTTGTCTACGTACAGAACTGGAGGAGAACGAGGCTGCTCTCTTAGGTTAGTCAGCAGGTAGGTGAGCCAGCGTAGCTCCTGTGCAACCATGGCCCCCGCATAGATCTCAGCCTCACAGCTGGAGCCGAGAACAGAAGACGAGCGGGTAGACCGCCACGAAACAGAGCCGGAGCCAAGGCTGAAGGTGTAACCCTGTGACGATCGCTGCGTAGCCTGGTCGTCCGCCCAAGAAGCGTCTGCGTGACCTGAAAGGACCACTCGACGTCACCCTCCAAACACTAGCCCCATGCTCGACGTACTGCACAAGTAGCGCAACACCCTCTTCGCTGCAGCCATGTGCTCTGGTCGGTGTCTCCCAGGAGCAACATAGCGTGCCAAGATGCTAAGAGGGTATGCAAGGTCAGGTCGAGTGCAGGTCATCAGGTACATGAGGCAGCCAACAAGCTCTGGGTACGGGCCACTCGGCTCTACGAACTCATTCGAAGGCAGAGCTGAGAGGGAGTGGCGAGTACACGAGGATGTAGAACGGCGGCAAAGAGGTGTTGGTGCGCAGAAACAGCAACGGGTCGGCTGTAGAAGGAGCAAACCCAAGAGCCGCAAGTGTAGTCCTCAGTGTGTCGTGCCACTCACGGGGCGCTTGGCGGAGACCGTAGACTGGCCGCCGGAGGCTCCACTGGGTACCAGGAGGAAACGACCCAGTGAAGCCAGGTGGGCGGCGCAGCCAGATCTCTTCGTGCAGGCTGCCCTGCAGAAAAGCTGTGCTGAAGTCAAGAGAGTGAAGCTCGTAGTCGCGCTGAGCGACTATGTGCAGCAGAACCCGAAGAGTGGTCATCTTCGGGGTGGGAGAGAAGGTCTGAAAGTAGTCATCTCCCTGCCGGTGTCTGAAGCCTGGAGCCACGTTCCGCCTTCTACTGGTCCTGCCCCTCCCTTAGAAGGCGGAAGACTTAGAACCTGCTCAAGGAGCGGAACGAAGTACGGCCTCGGCCGCGCAGTGCCTTTAGAACCAGCAGGGACAGCACCAGTACCCCCAGCGGCAGCACCAGCGGCAACAGCACCTCCAGCTCCAACAGCGCCAACTCCAGCACCCTTAGAAGCACCAGCGCCAGCAGCACCTCCAGCGCCAACACCTCCAGCAGCTCCAGCTCCAGCAGCTCCAGCAGCACCAACTCCAGCAGGACCGGTAGCTCCAATACCGCTAGCAGCTCCAGCAGTACCTCTAGCAGCCCCAGCAGCACCCCCAATCCCAGCAGCTCAAGAACCGGGCGAGCCCCTCTGGGACCAGCACCAACAGTAGTACCTCCAGCTCCAGCAGCACGGCTCCAGCGCCGGGCAAACCACTCGTGCAGCTCCTGCGGAGAGAGTGGCTCTCGCCTCAAAGATGTACCTCGCGAGGCCACACGAGCAGACCCAGCACCCCCAGGTTCAACACCCCCAGACTCAGCACCCCCAGGCTCAGCACCCCCAGACTTAGCACCCCCAGGCTCAGCACCCCCAGGCTCCGCACCCCTGGACTCAGCACCCCCAGGCTCCGCACCCTCAGGCTCAGCACCCCCAGACCTGGCACCCGCAGGCTCAACACCTCTAGCAGCACTAGAGTCAACAGCTACCCGGACAGGCTCGACTGCTTCTACCTGAGACACACTTGACGGGGCAGGACCCTGAGGGGGGAGGGGGTCTACCGGGGGAGGACCTGGGGCAAGGAAGAGCGGCGGCGGGGGGAGGGGCGCAGTGGGGTAGGGGAAGTGACGGTAGTAGGGCACCGACTCGTCAAAGGTGACGTCCTGGGAGGACAGAACACGGCGCGAGGTGGTAAAACTGCCAACCACGCGCGTCACGGGGGAAGCCAAGGAAGACGCAGGGAACAGCACGGGGGGACAGCTTGTCCGCAGACAAGTCGCGAACAAACGCTCGAGATCCCCAGACCCGAAACGAAGACGCATTGCTAACCATCCCCGTTCACCGCACGGTGGGGGAGGTCTCTGGTAAGGAGACCCGGCGCTGGAGGTTGAGCTGATGCGCTGCGTACTGAACTGCAAACGGCCAAGGAAAATGGGGGGCACCGGCATGGATCATGGACGTACGAGCGACGTCCATGACTATGCCAATGCGGCGCTCAGTAATCCCATTTTGCTATGGAGAGGCCGGAAGCGTGAAGGTCTGGCGGATGCCCTGTGCACAACAGAAGGCTCCCAGTTGGGCAGAGGAAAACTCCCCGCCTCTATCAGAGTGCAGACGCAGAACAGGAAAGTCCGAGCCAAAACTCTCTCTGAGCTGGAGACGAGCTGCGCGGATCCAGTCGATCAACACCTCAGTGACGTCACCCATGCTGCGTAAGGGGAAGACTGTGGTGTAACGCGAGTAGTCGTCAACCACCAACAGGAAGTAACGCTCGTGCCCCTGGCCACGGACGCGGGCGGGGCCCTACACGTCCATGTGAAGAGTCTGCAACGGAGCCTCTGTCGGAGGAAACTCGGAGGAGTGAGGGGCGGCGCGCTGTCGCAACTCGACAAAGGGGACGCAGGTAGGGGCAGGCCTCGGAGGTAGGGGAGGGAGAGACCGGTGGAGACCAGAGACAAGGACTCGGGAGGCCATGCCTCGGAGACGAGGCAGGGAGGGGTGACCAAGGCGGTGGTGCCAGAGGAGAGTCTCGTGGGACAGGAGACGACACGAGCAAGGAGCAAACTCAGGACCAGACCTGGACGCTGGAGCAAACACCTGACTCGACGCAGCTACCTGACCAGACTCAGTATCCGGAGGAGGCTCAGTAGTCAGTGTGTACTTGCTCGACCCCGGCCGACGGGTAAACGTGGCCAAGTGTCGGCCTGTCTGAGCACACGTGCAGTGGGTCACCCGCTGACTCGCAGGAGTGAACTGGTCAACCCCCCTATCCTGCAGATCAGCTCCACTCACCAAGTTCGTAGAGAACGAGGGGAGGTAGAGACCTGACAGGGTGCCAGAGGGGGCTGCCGGGCACGGTAAGACAGTGGAGAAGCTAGCAAGGACAGGACCCCTAGAGGGGTCGGCAAGGGAGACTGCATCTGGCCGACTAAGCGGCGTAAGCGTGGTGCGGTCTCGAAAGAAGGAGCGGGAAGCACCTGAGTCAAGGGTGAAGGTGTGTAAGGCCTGAGCCGACGTAGTACCTGAGAGAGCAGACTCCCCAGAACCTGGGGCAGCAGACGCACTAGCACCTAGAGCAGCAGCCTCACCAGCATCTAGAGCAGCAGCCTCAATGCCCGGGTCAGGCGGAACACACAGGTAACAGTCACCCTCCTCACTAGTAGACACAACATACATGGCAGCAAGAATAGCATCATAGTCAAGATCAAAGATGGCAACCCCCGCCCTAGACAGATCTCCCCAGCGAGGGATCTCCGAGGCCTCAGGGAACTGGTGAAGCCAAGCGTCCGTCAGGCGGCCGAAGCAGCGCTGAGTGGAGTGCGGGCCCCCGCACTGCTCACCAGCGCGGTCGCCGGTACGGAGGACGTAAGTGCAGGGACCAGTACCCCCACCGCGCTGACGCGCAGCGTACCACTCACGAAGCTGTTGAGGGGATAGGGTCTCACGACTGCGCTGCTGCTGCTGGCGCGGACCACCACCGGACGCACTCCTCTGCGCAGAGCCTCGACTAGCTCCACCGCCGCCACCGCCTCCGCCGCCTCCGCAACCTCTACCGCCTCCGCCACCTCCGCCGCCTCCGCTCCCTCCGCCACCACCGCCGCCTCCTCCGCCTCCACTACTGCCACCGCCGCCACCACCCCCGCCACCTCTCCCACCACCACCCCCACCCCCTCCACTGCCTCCACGACCACCTCCACCGCCCCCGCCAGCCCCTCCTGTGCCCTTGCCCCCCCTTGCCCTTGCCGGTGCGGCGTCTCCCGCTAGGGGCAGACGCAGCGCCGACCCCGTAGAAACCAACGAGGTCGGCAGCAGCAGCAGAAGCAACAGAGGGCAAGAGGGGGGAGGTGGAACACCCCTCAAAGATGGGGGTGCGAGGGTCACCATGAGAGGCTCCTACAACGACTATGCTTTTCTCTGCTGCTAGGAGGCGCTCCTCGAGGAGGTCAACGGTGAGTGTGGTGGGGAAAACTGAGAGGAAGTGGTCCCTGACTAAGCGAAGGGAGTCAGGGAGCTGGGTGACTATGTAGTAGAGGGTGATGTACATGGGGGGGGGGTTCTTGGCTTAGAACTCAGCAGGAAGCGCAGCGCGGTAGCGAGTGTCACTAGTGCGAAGGTGTGTAATGAGGTCAGCGACTGTGGGAAAGGCAGCAAGGTCAGGGAACAGGTACGGCAGCATGAGGCGGCTAAGCGCAGCAGTGGCAGGGGAGGAGTAGCGTGCAACTACAGCGTCGTACAAGGTCTGAGCACTCTTGTACTGGCTAAAGTGTGCACGCTCAGTGGTCGGTAAGTGGCGACGCACAGCAAGACGGGCAGCAGCATCGCGTGTGGCCCACTAAGAGCGAACAGTGCTGTCAGCAGTAGCTGGCGGGGCAGCGGAGGCACCAGAGGTGAGATCGAACAGGGAGAGTCCGTCTGCCCTATCGCACTGTAGGAACAGCTGGAGGTCATCAACCCAGACCTCAAAGTCAACAGCACGACCCTCAGTATCAAAGGTAAGAACACTGGGGGTAGCCATGACTGCAGTGGCCTAACAGGGAGTGATCTCACTAGTCCGAGTAAGTAGGGCCGGGGCGCGCCGGTAGGAACAGTAGTGGCTCGACGGCGGGGCGGCTAGGCGGCTCGGCTGCTCGGCGGCTCGGCGGCTCGGCTGCTGGGCGGCTTGGCTGTCAGGCGGCTCGGCTGTCGGGCGGCTCGGCTGTCGGGTGGCTCGGCGGCTCGGCTGCTGGGCGGCTTGGCTGGTGGGTGGCTCGGCGGGTCGGTTTCTGGTCAGCTCGGCTGCTCGGCGGCTCGGCTGCTAGGCGGCTCGGCTGTCGGGCGGCTTGGCGGCTCGGCTGCTGGGCGGCTCGGTGGCTGAAGGGGCCGCTAGGGGCGGCGACGAGGCCGCGTAGGGAGGGGAGCGGCGACGGGGCCGCTAGGGGCGGCGAGGGGGCCGCGCAGGTAGGGAGGCAGCGACGAGGCCGCTGAGGGCGGCGATGGGGCCGCTAGGGGCGGCGACGGGGCCGCGTAGGGGCGACGACAGGGCCGCGTAGGGGCGGCGACAGGGCCGCGTAGGTAGGGAGGCGGCGACAGGGCCGCTAGGGGCGGCGACAGGGCCGCTCACGGGCGGCGACGGGGCCGCTAGGGGCGGCGACGGGGCCGCGTAGGTAGGGAGGCGGCGACGAGGCCGCTAGGGGCGGCGACGGGGCCGCTAGAGGCGGCGACGGGGCCGCGAAGGGGCGGCGACCGGGCCGCGTAGGGGCGGCGACGGGACTGCGTAGGTAGGGAGGCGGCGGCGGGGCCGCTAGGGGCGGCGACAAGGCCGCGTAGGGGCGGCGACGGGGCCGCTTAGGGGCGGCGACGGGGCCGCGTAGGTGGAGAGGCGGCGACGGGGCCGCTAGGGGCGGCGACGGAGCCACTAGGGGTGGCGACAAGGCCGCGTAGGGGGCGGCGACGGGGCCGCTAGGGGCGGCTACGGGGCCGCGTAGGGGCGGCGACGGGGCCGCTAGGGGCCGCGAGGGGCGGCATGGGGGGCCGTGGGAGGGGCCTCTAAGGGACCTCGACGGAAGGGCGGCCCACAGGGCGCGCCTCGGGCAGCAGCCACTGGCGCTCCGGTCAGAATTTTTTTTTTTTCAGTGGTGGGCCCAGGGAAGCGTTCCCACTAGGGAACCTGCTCTATACCATGTGAAAGAATGAGGAATGAATGAGCTAGCACAAGGTTGGGTACAAGTAGGAAACCCTAGGAAACTGTACCCCATAGTGTCTACCCCACTATAGCCTAGACAAGATATATAATATGAGTTTGACAGACCACACGTCTAACGCCTCTCTCGCCCCTCCCGACACAGCTGACAGTGCGACTCGCTCACAGTGGCTTACTCGTGACGCTGCTGCTCGCCTAGCCGTTCTCAACCACTTGCCGTTAGCTGAACGCGCCCATTTTGGCCAGCACAAGACTGCTAGAGCCCAGTACGACGCTGTAGTCACTCATTACTCCTCCCCTGCAAGTACTGCTCTAGGCCACCTTATACTGCCCGACCTATTCCCTAAGCTGACCGCCTTTGCCACAGTCGCCGACCTCATCACCCACCATCGCACTAGTGACACTCGCTACCGCGCCGCGCTTCCAACCAAGTTTCTAGACAAGAACCAACCCCCATGTACATCACTCTCTACTTCATCGTCACCCACCTCCCCGACTCTCTTAGCGCAGTCAGAGACCTCCTTCTCGCCCTTGACCCCACTGACCTCACTGTCGACCTGCTCGAGAAGCACCTCCTTGCAATTGAGACCAGCATAGTCGCTGTAGGCGCTTCTCGTGGCACTCCTCGCACTCCCTTCTTTGAGAGGTGTTCCCCCTCCCCCCTTGTCCCCTCTGTCGCTTCTGCTACTGCTGTTGACTTCCTTCGTGCTGAGGAGGTCGGGGTTATGTCTGCTCCTAGTGGGAGGCGCCGCAGCGGCAAGGGCAAGGGAGGCCAGGGTGGTGGGGGTGGCAGTAGTGGAGGCGGTGGTGGGGGCGGTGGAGGCGGTGGAGGTGGCGGTAGTGGCGGAGGGAGTGGTGGTGGGAGTGGAGGCGTTGGTGGCGGCGGTGGTGGTGGCACCGGGAGTGGTGGCAGCGGTAATGGTGGCGGCAGTGGTAGTGGTGGAGGCGGCATTGTTGGCGGCCGGGGTGGAGCTTTTCAGAGAGGAGAATCTGGCGGTGGCCAGAGGCAGCAGCAGCAGCGTTCGAGCAAGACCCCTACGCCCCAGCAGCTTCGTGGGTGGTTTGCTCAGCGTGGGGCTTCTGGGGGTTGTGTGCGCTGCTCGTATATCATTCGCATAGGTGGCCGCGTTGGTCATACATGCGACAATTTCACACACAGCACCGCTGCTTCTCCCGTCTTGACGACACATGGCGCGCATAATTTCCCGACGCGACTGAGCTCTCCCGCTCGCTAGAGCTCCTTAGGCAGGGTGTTGATATCTTTGCTCTTGACTATGATGCTATCCTTGCTGCCATGTATGCATTGACTGTTAGTGCTGAGGGTGACTGTTACCTGTGTGTGCCGCCCGACCCAGGTATAGAGGCTGCTGACCTAGGTGCTAGTGAGTCTGCCCTCCCTGGTACTACGCCTGCTGAGGCCTTGCACACCTTCACGCTTGACTCAGGTGCTTCCCGCTGTCTCTTTCACTACAGCACCACAGTTACACCACTCCCTGCACCTGTTGAAGTCGGACTGGCTGACCCCTAAGGGGGCCCAGTTCTTGCCCGTTCCTCCATTGTTCTTCCGTGTCTGGCGGTTTCGTCCGGCTCACTCTCGAGTCTTCACCTACCCTCGTTCTCTACGAACTTGGTGAGTACCGCTACCCTCCAGGATGCGATGGTCACTACCACCACTCCTAGGGGTCAGCGTGTGTCGATCTGCACGTGTACACAGACGGGCTGTCACGTGGCCACGATCACTCGTCGGCCAGGGTCGAGTTTGTACACACTAACTACTAAGCCTCGTCGGGTAGCTTCTTCTGCGTCCGCGTCAGGTCAGCTTGCGGCCCCCTGCTCGAGTCAAGCCTTGTCGCACCAGACTCTCCTTTGGCACCACCACCTTGGTCACCCCTCCCTGCCACGCCTCTGTGGCATGCACTCCCGTCTCCTTGTTTCTGGTCTTCCTAGGTCTCTGCCTCCCCTCCCACCCTCCCCTGCCCCTCCCTGCCTTCCCTGTGTTGAGGGGCGGCAGCGCGCCGCTCCTCACTCCTCGTTTCCCCCGACGACTGCTCCCCTGCAGACTCTCCACATGGACGTGTGGGGCCCACCACGTGTCCGTGGACAAGGCCACGAGTGATACTTTCTGTTGGTTGTTGACGACTACTCGCGTTACACCACGGTCTTCCCCTTGCGCAGCAAGGGAGAGGTCCTTGATGTTTTGATCCCTTGGATCCGCGCTGTCCATCTCCAGCTCCGCGAGCGGTTCCGCGAGAACCTTCCTGTCCTGCGTCTGCACTCTGACAGAGGTGGTGAGTTTGCCTCCGACCTCTTGCGGGACTTTTGTCATGGGGAGGGCATTCGTTAGTCTTTCACGCTTCCGGCCTCTCCGCAGCAGAATGGGGTTGCTGAGCGCTGCATTGTCTTAGTCATGGAGGTCGCTCTTACCTCCATGATCCATGCGGCTGCTCCCCATTTTCTGTGGTCGTTTGCGGCCCGGTACGCTGCGCAACAGCTCAACCTCTGGCCCCGTATTCCCTTGCCGGAGACCTCGCCGACACTGCGTTTGACGGGAGAGGTTGGCGATGCGTCGGTGTTTCGGGTCTGGGGATCTCGTGCCTTTGTCCGCGATACCACCACAGACAAGCTCTCCTCCCGCACCATTCCCTGTGTCTTCCTTGGCTTTCCCCCAGACGCGCCTAGCTGGCAGTTTTACCACCCCACCTCGTGCAGTGTCCTGCCTTCTCAGGACGTCACATTTCACAAGTCGGTACCCTTTTACCATCTCTTCCCCTACCGCACTACCCCTCTCCTTCCCTGCCGCTCTTCCTCGCACCAGGTCCCCCTCCGGTAGACCCCCTCCCCCCTCAGAGTCTTGCTCCCTCATGTGAGGATCTCGTTCAGGAAAGATGATTCTATTGAATGGTCCACCCGGGAACAAGGCGAGGCTATATATAGGCTCGACACAAAGGCAGTAACCCGGGTGTTACTAGAATGTTCCGCTGGTCGCGAAGCGTCCCGAACGGGTCCTTCCCGAATTCGGTAGAAGGCAATTCGGTGGCAACCGAAAAGCCTAGAATTCGGTGCACTCAACCTAGTTCGGTGCCTACAACTATAATAACTATAGTAAAGGCAACGAACCTAGGAAATCAAGCAAAAGCACGCAAGATAAAATAAAGCTAAGCTAGTAATAATAAAAAAAATCCAGACAAGCTAGCAAAGCCAGCTTAAGCCGTCGTACTCTCACACGTCCCCCCCTCAAAGCTAGGTGGCGTGAGAAACACCCTGCTTGACAAGATAGTCCTTGAGAGCACGGCGTGCATTGCCCATATCAGCTTCTGCAACCCAACTGTCCTCCGATGGGTCATATCCCTTCTAGCGTATGAGGAACTCGAGCGTGTTGCCGCGTTTGCGTTGATGAGCGAGAACTTTTTCCACCTCGTACTCTGGTTCATCCTGTATGAGAACAGGTGGTGGTGGCAGTAGCTGCCGTCCCTGCAACTATTGGTTGGGGTCCTTGTAGGGCTTTAGTAGCTGAACATGGAAAGCGTTGTGAAGCTTCTACATAGTAGGTAAGCGCAAGTGGAATGTTAATGGTGTCACCTGTGCCTCAACGCGAAAAGGACCAAAGAAGCGAGGCCGGAGCTTGAACGGTAGGTGAGACATGTTCAAGTTGCGCGTGTCAAGAAGCACCTGATTTCCGACTGCTACTGAGTGATCACGTCGCTGACGATCGGCATACTGCTTCTGGGAACTCTGCATCGTGGAAAGACGTCGCTGAGTCTTCTCCCACAGCTGCTGCATGGTGGTGACGAAGTCATGTGCGGCTTGGACGTATGCCGGTGTAGTTGGCTGCTGTGGTGTAAGTGGTTCCCGTCCGTAACACAGGAAGAAAGGAGTTTTCCCTGTGGCCGCATGTGACGTGTTGTTGTAAGTGAACTCTAGGGTCGGTAACTGTGTGTCCCAGTGGCTGGCATCGTCTTTGCAAGCTGTGCGCAGTAACTGTTCAACCACCTGATTGAGTCGCTCTGTCTGTCCGTCAGCCTGGGGGTGGTATGCTGAAGACATTGCAAGCTTTGTCCCCAACAGACCCATGAGTTCCCTCCAGAACTTACTGGTGAGTTTTGGGTCTCTGTCTGAGATTAGTGTAGTGGGGATGCCGTGGATGGTGATGATGCGGTCGAAGAAGAGGCGAGCAATTGTTTCAGCTGTAGCCGTGGTGTTGGTCCGGATAAAGTGACCCATTTTGGAGAATCTGTCGATCACCACGACTATAGCGTCACGCCCTCGTGAGGTCGAAGGAAGTCCTGTGATGAAGTCGAGGCTAACGACCTGCCATGGCTGCTCCGGTACGGGTAGAGACTGAAGTAGCCCTGATTTTTTCTGCTTGCTACTCTTCATCCGCTGGCACGTGTCGCATGAGGTGACGAACTGCTGCACGTCTGCTGCCATCCCGGGCCAGTAGTAATACTTTGCTATCCCTGCTAACGTCTTGTTGCTCCGGAAATGTCCCGCGTACTGTACGTCGTGAAACTCTTCCAGTAGAATCTGTTGGTGCGGGGAATAGTTCGGTACCCAAATCTTTCCTGATCCCTTTCTTACAGCTAAGTCCTTCTTCCACTATAACAGATTCTGTTTCTTTGCCATAGTGATCTCTGCGTCCACGGAGTACCCATGTTGGAATAGACCCTTGAGCAGAGGGTTCATCCCGTCGAGCTGGATACCTAATACATGACCGGGGCGGCTTAACGCGTCTGCCTTGTTGTGTAGCCCGGGCCTGTGGACGATGTTGTAGTGGAAGTGAGTTTCCAGGAAGTCCACACACCGCACCTCTCGTCGTGAGAGCGTCGGCTGTGACTTCAGGTATTTGAGGCTGCAGTGGTCAGTGTAAACTGTAGTCTTGGCTCTCAGTAGGTAACACCTCCACGCCTTGAAGGCTGTGACTATCGCTAAGGCTTCCTTGTCATGGATTGGGTAGTTCAGTTCTGCTCAGTGTAGCTTCTTACTTAGGTAGGCGATGGGCTGCAAACTGCGTCCGTGATGCAGCATCAGTACTGCTCCGACTGCTTGGTCACTAGCCTCTGCTTCCACCACGTAGTCTCTGTCTAGATCCGGTAGGATGAGTACTGGCGCTGTAGTCAATGCTGTCTGTAGCTGCTCCATAGCTTGCTGATGAGGAGTATCTCATTTGTAGGGCGTATCCTTTTTCAGTAGGTCGGTCAGTGGGCTGCTGTCTTAGCGTACTGTGGCACGAACCTGTTGTAGTAGTTGACGAAGCCTAGGAACTGCTGCAACTCCTTCACGTTCTCAGGATCATTCCCTATATCTGTCCAGCTTCGCAGCTCCACTCGTTTCCCATTGTTGTAGATGCACTTTTTTCGGTTGACCCAGTCGATCTTGGGGTTGAACCGCTTCTGAAAATCACGCCCCAAGATGAAATATAATCCCTTGATATTTGTGATCGGCAACGTCGGCTTCCACCTCAACGCCCCTATCTGCAGCCGCAGTATTGACTCGCCGTGGATGGGAAGCTTCGTACCGTCCACCATCATTGCTGTAAACTATGTCTCTTCTAAGGGTTCTCCAATTTTCTCCAACGTTCCGCGGTCGCACACCGAGTGGGATGCACCACTGTCCACCAGGGCCTAGAGGTGACGCTCGTTGCAGATCATCTCGAGTACTAGTGGTTGCTGCTGCTCCGTATAGCCGTAGATGTTATCGCTTATAGGATCGTAGGGTACGTTGAATATGTCATCCCTAGGTCCTGCGCTCGAAGATGCAGCTTCAATATCAGTTTTCAACTGAGAAAAGTTAAAAGGATTTATCCGAGGTCGATTCAGTTTCTCTTGGGCCTGGAACCTTCCCCTAAACCTTTGAAGCTGTGTAGGCTTCGTCTGTGGGGAACAGGGAGCCTTTATACAGAGCTGCTGGGAGAGAATATTAACTCCTTGGAACGCTTGACCCTAATTAGCGCTCCGGAGTAGGGTCCCCATATTACCCGGTACCGGTTTAATTTCTAACTCTCCCTTAATAAAGGCTTGAAACCCACGAGAAGTAATATTCTTACTTGTCGGGGTGTACGGCTGGAGTCTCTCGATCAGTGCAGAGTCTTGTTTCGCGGATCCTCCTTTAGTCTCGGCGATTTCCCCTGGTGCCGGCTGGTCATGACGTTTTAAGTTTGTGCCACCATATTCTCATTTTTTCGCCCTCTCCGAAGTTGCCACGTTGTCCGTTTTCTGCTTCGGGGGTGCCGCGCTGTTCTTGTCTCTCAACTCCGCACGCCTTCTCTTCATTTTCCAACACGCCAAGATACGATGTCCTATAGCGCCGCAAAATTTGCACGTCTTATTTTTTGCTACCCGCTGCTCCACATCGCCCTCGTCGTTCTCCATCGGGTCAGCAGTCGTGGGTGGTGCCAATCGCCCCATGCCACTAGTTGGCTTGTTGCGTCGTGTTCCGTAGTAGCTGCTGTTCAACGTGTCGAACTGTTCGATCAGTGCTGTACGAAACTGCGCCCACGTCCCTTCGCCTTGGACTATACTGTTGTTGATCCACTCTAGAGCTGGGCCTTGTAATAGTGTTGCTGCGAGCCGTATGCGCATTGCGTCTTTTGTCGGGGTCGTGCATCCAACGGCTTCGAAGTAAATTTCGAGTTCAACTACAAATCGACGAACGTCGTTCCCTTGAACTATAGGATCGAACGCCTCCGGAAGCCCAGCTTCACTTCTTCGAGGTTAACTGTAGCTGCTGCCATTATATCGAGCGCCGCACGTATTTGCTTATTCTCAGCACGTAATTCCGCGATTTTCTGTACTGAAATATCTCTTTTTCCCTCCATTTGGCGATTTACAAGAAGATGCGCGACGAAAATAATATAATTCTAGGTGCTGGTCGACTTACTGCGAGTCGAGTTGACTGTAGAATCGACGAGCGCAAACTCTGTAGGTCGCGTAAATCTTCCTTAGATGAAATTCGCCTTCGATCTCGGCCGTTGAGGAGAAAGTCGATCCGACGCTCCAAAGTTTAACTTTTTGGGGCGAAATTCTATGGGCCGTTGAGATGAAACTCGATCGAACGGTAGAAATTCCAACCCTTTTACCAGTAAATCTGAGGGTGTTCGAAAACCGAATAGAGGGGGACTTAGAAAAATTGCGCGGAACTGGTTTTACATACTCGTTGTCAGAACATGTATGTAGCTTATGCTGTTGTGTAGGCTACAGTGGGGTATCCCATAGGGGGTACAACCCAATTAGGGTTTTGCTATTTGTACCCAACTCTTTCATAGTGCATTCATTCTCGTTCTATTTTCCACATGGTATCGAGCAGGTTCCCCCGTGGGAACTGTGCTTAGGGCCCACCACTTTTAAACTTTTTTTTTTCTGCCCGGAGCGTGCTCCGGGCCCTCGCTCTCACTCTTTCGGCCTGCCCTGCGGCCCCCTAGCCGCCCGCGCGCGCCCGTTCAGGCCCCTAGCCGCCCGCGCGCCGCCTGTCCCGGCCCTTAGCCGCCCGCGCGCCGCCCGTCCCGGCCCCTAGCCGCTCGCGCGCCGCCCGTTCAGGCCCCTAGCCGCCCGCGCGCCGCCCGTCCCGGCCCCTAGCCGCTCGCGCGCCGCCCGTTCAGGCCCCTAGCCGCCCGCGCGCCGCCTGTCCCGGCCCCTAGCCGCTCGCGCGCCGCCCGTTCAGGCCCCTAGCCGCCCGCGCGCCGCCCGTCCCGGCCCGTAGCCGCTCGCGCGCCGCCCGTTCAGGCCCCTAGCCGCCCGCGCGCCGCCCGTCCCGGCCCCTAGCCACCCGCGCGCGCCCGTCCCGGCCCCTAGCCACCCGCGCGCACCCGTCCCGGCCCCTAGCCACCCGCGCGCG